CGGCACCTACCCTTTCATTAAGCTTCTAAAGTACTCAAAATGTACTTTAAAAATACTTAAAAGTACTTTTACTGTTCCCGTCCGATTATGCGATTGTGTGGCCTCGTTTTTTTCGCATGATTCTACACCATGTGGATAATTTTGGATTCCCCGTGTTTTTTCACATTTTTCACAAAAAAGCAATGTACTAAACACCTTGCTATGTGACTAAAGGGAAGTAATCAGAGTAATGAGTCTCATTTGTCAAGTTGGTTATTTCCCTTGTTAGGGATTTTTGTTCCTTGAGCATGTTCAATTTTTCAATCAATCAAAAGTAAGTTATTCTCATGTCTGCTAATGTTTCTTGTTTGACAGGTGTCCCTGGTTTTAGTGATGTGCCAGCATCAGAGGTTCAGATGTTGTTTTTTTTAAATTGGTAAAAATCATTTTTTCCCCAAGTTACAGAGATTATATTTTTGGGGTTTTTTTTCTTTTTGATTGATGTGTTCTTTCCAAATACTCAAATAACTACTGATACTGATATGTTCAGGTTTTCAATTCTTCTGTACATAGTTCTAAAACATGAAAATTCTTGTTGAAAAAGCGCAAAACATGTTGTGAATAGCGTTATGGTAATTTGCATAATTTTTCATTTGTCTTGCTTAATTTGGCCATCTAAATTTGCATAATTCTGCAGGGACAGCTTTTACACCAGGTCGGGAACTCGGCTGGCGAGAAACAGGTGGCGTTGTCCATCACAATAGCGTGTGGATAGCCAAAGTGAACGAAGTCCTCGTCGGGTTTCCGGGTGGTCGCCTTGGTTGTTATCGAGGACATGAGGTGGATACATGGATACTTGGAGAATGCATCCACCATGTCCAGCCAGTCGTGACCTCTGAAATTGATGACGTGGTCAATATGAACACTGCTCCAAGGTTCGTCGGGGGTGATCCATGGGTGAGACGGCTGCTTAAGGGGCAGCCTCTTGGGCTCGTTGCAAGCTGTGCAGTGTCAAGCAACTTCTTCAATATCAGCATCAATGCGTGGCCAGTAAACAGCAGTGCGAGCTAACTGCTTCATTCTCTGCATGCTGAAATGCCCCAGGCGCAGGATCTGGAGTACCTGGGATTGCATAGTCCTTGGGATCACCACTCTGTGGCCTTAGAAGATGCAGCCATTCGCCAGAGACAAAGAGTCTCTCTCGAAGAACGTAAAAAGGTTTCATTTGGTCACAGAAGTTCTAGGGCCTGTTGCCTTGCAGGTGCTGGATCACCTAGGTCAGAGCAGGGTCTTTGGACGTTTTCTCTCTAAAATCTGCTGATAAGTTTTATGGTGCAGATAGTTGCTGAGTCTGCACCAGTCTCCTCACTGTCAAAGGATGGATCCGCCCCTTCTGGCAATCTACTCAGGGCGTCTGCTTTGCTGTGCTCTGATGTCTTGGGATACTCAATGGAGTAGTCGTATTGGCTTAAGATTAGAGCCCATCTGGCAAGTCAATTTGCTGCTAGAGCTGGAATCGGCTTCGTTGGTCCAAAGAGGGCAATCAGCGGCTTGTGATCTGTCACCAGGATGAAACGTCGTCCGTAGAGGAACTGGTGAAACTTGTTTAGACCGATGATAGCCAGGGCCTCCTTCTGAATTTGGCTGTATCTTCTCTGGGTCTGCGTCAGTGTTTTTGAGACATTGGCAATGGGTCTCTCACTGCCATCGCTGTGTCTTTGAAACAGGACACAGCCCATTACCACTTCTGATTCATCGCAGGATATTCCCACCTCCAACGCAGAGTTGAAGTGGGCCAGGACGGTGTCAGCACTCAGACAGTCTTTGATCTGTTGAAAAGCTGTCTGTTCAGAAGCACCCCACTGCCATGGGGTGTCTTTCTTTGTCAGTACAACGGTTCCAGGATAGTCGACAGCTTTGGTAGGAATTTGCTGTAGAACTGAACTTGGCCTAAGAAAGATCTCAAGCTGGACACTTTGGATTGTGCTGGCATCTGCATGATGGCATCTGTTTTTGGACCTTTTGAAATACCGTTCTTGGAAAGGTAGTGTCCTAGGTACTCTATGTAAGGCTGAGCAAATAAGTACTTCTCTAACCGGCAGTGTAGTCCCTTGTCTTGTAGATGCTGGAGCAGGCCTCGGAGGTTCTGCACGTGTTCCGCCGCATTGTTGCCGCTGACAAGGATGTCGTCCAGGTAGACCGCAACACTAGGCAGGTCTTGTGTTAACTGGTCCACAATTTCTTGGAAATAACCCGGAGCAGAGGTTATTCCAAACGGCAGGCGTTTCTGTAGCAGGATGCCTTTGTGAGTGCTGAGGGCAAGCTTTTTCTGCGACTCTGGGCCTAGGCAGATCTGGTTGTATGCGTCAGCGAGGTCAATCTTCGGAAAACTGGCCTCGACCCAGACAGTGGCCTCGATCCAGTCTCCGCATGAGATCCTCCAGCTGTGGCATCGGGTGACGATGTGTCTCCAGTTGCTGGTTCACAGTGACAAAGTAGTCACCGCAGACTCTTGATACTGCTCTGACTTCTTGATTGGTACCACTGGCGTACAATATGTCATTATATGAGTTGAGCTGGACTGGCTCTCAGATACCTCTGTTGATGCCGGCTTGAATGGCTCAATTCTACTGGGTGAGGCTTGTGAAAGACAGGCTGGACGTGTGGCCTCGCTCAAAGTTCCCAGCTCTGTTACTCACACTTCAACCCAGTACGAGACTCTTCTGTTCCTGATTGAAGTTCAAGTTCGCAGTTACGAAATATAACACGCTAAGTCTTAAAATTTGATGACTGCAGACTTGATATTCATTCAGGAATTTAAGAGTTCGGAATGGGATGAACTGAACTAGTCTACCTATTTTTTGATCAATATATAAAACGAACAATATCTACACAACAGGTTATGGTATTTACATGTAACAGATTACATGCCTTTGTTAATAATTGACATTCATACGTGTCAGTCATTCTCAAGTAGAATATTACAACACCAGCTTAATGGTACACGTTGGCAAAGATATATAATACAAACATGACTTATTATGATAATGAAAATGACATAAACCAACTTAATAACCAATGTCCTGCTAAGGGAATGAATTAAGAGCATGTCTAATTATTTCCCTTACATAATAAAGACAGATTACATGGGTATTTTTTCATTGAGAGCAAAACAAATGAACAAGCTTTAAAAAGATACCAATAACTCCACATGCCCCAAAATTGATGAGCGTTTGATTCCACCATGTTGTGACACATATCATAATAATCTTACTTACATGTAAAGTGTTTTCATTTAAGATGAACCAGTCAAAGTTGTCTGGTGGTTTATATATATTCATATTGTCAGGGTTGTCAATTATCCGGCTTTTTAAAATCCTCTAAAGGAGAAAGTAATTTCTTTACAGCAAGACCTTCCCCCATCCATTATATACATCAATATGCAGTTGTTGGTGAGTTCTATTTTTTAAAAATATTTAGGTTTCTCTAAATATTTTGGCACATGTTAATATCTTATTGTTTTTAATGAAATGCTGCGTGCCGCACACAGAATTTTATACCCAAAAATTTTAAGGCTATTTTTGTCAGAGCCTGCTTGCAACCCTGTATGGTATTACTGGCAAGAAATAATCAAAATGTGTTATCATCTCTTCATCTTTTTTCCCTGATTCTTTCTGTAATGGTTTAATTGAACATTTGTATGGAGGCTTTCATGGTCTAGAGGCATGGTGTTCACCTTTCATTCAATGGGTCGGGGTTCGAAACCTGACAGCGGCAGAATAAATATTCTGTAAAATTTTCCTTTCACCTCCGTTCCTGCTCTCTTATCGTATTCTGTTGTCTGCTTTCGTCTCCACATTATCCCCATTCACACACACACACCACCACCCCCCCCCCGTTTTGAAATTTGATTTAGAAGTTTATTCGACTTTGTTTTATCGCGATGCCCAAATTATAGCCCAGACACCAGTCTTAGTACTTTTACACCACAAAATGTATCATTATTTTGCTCACTAAAGAAATGCTGAAATGTAGGACTCTTCTTTAGAATATTGATACTATTGGACTCAAATTGCCAGGGGTCTGTTTTTGAGAAATCAATATTTTTCAGTGCTAGATCTAAATTGTTAAAATATTTTTCTCCCCTCAAAATCACTATTTTTTGGTAAAATTACACAAAAAGTACCACTCAAGACATGTATAGGTTTATTCCAAAAGCAATTCTGAATAATTCCATATTAGATACGAGTGTTTTCTCTGTTTGTGAATGCATTTGTCCTTTTTTCAAGATTAAAATATTTTTATTTTTTTTACAGTATCGGATGTTATTATCTAAATGTACAATTTTATGGAATGTATGTAAATAACTGCAAATTTTTCAACATTTCCCAGTTCTATATTCATTATGGTTATTTTGATGTATCATTTGACTAGGTGCAAACATATTTTTTGAGTTTCACCAAAGATTATTAAATTTTTATTTTCAAATTTTATCCGCATCCAAGCAAAATTGTGTTGCATAATGCCTCTTACAGGAACCAATGTTGAAAGATACAGAAATAGACACAGATGTATTCTACAAACCGTACTGAAAATTTGGTACATAATATGTTGATATGCTGCGCACTAGTCACCATCTCATTTCGCCCTCCCGAAAAAAATTTGTCCACAAGCCGAAAATAATACGTAGCGAATGAGTTAAAGTAGCTGCATTACTCTTATTTCTAATACAATTTTTTTCTTTTTAGGATTTCACAGAGATGTTCTTTATCTCTAAAGTTGTCCATTTATTCTGAATTCAGATTCATTTTAAGATTATGATTTTTATCATTTCAAATTCTGTTTTTTCTATTCTATTGCCCACAGCACAAATTACAAAGAGGTGAAAAGTCTGCCTCAGAAAAACTGTGTCTGCTCCTAGAAGCTGCAAAGGCAGAGCAGGAGGTTCTTAAGAATAGGCTGCACAGGTTACAATCAAATTTGGCATGCTTGCAACAAATTTCAGGACCTCAACATCAACTGGAGTCTGACAGTCAAAGAGAACTTGCACGGTATGTGAATTGGGCTCACAGTACCAAGAAGTAGAAAAGATTGTATTTCTATTGCCATTGTTTCTTTAGCTGTCCCCGTCGTTTATTCTAGAAAAATTCTGAAATTATGCAAACTGAGCCCAAAAATGTGAAATTATGCGATTTTGTTGATTTTTAACAATGAATGTTAAAGGAAAATAATAAGAACTTATGCAAGAAATGATCAAATTTTGCTAAATTATGCGGGGTGCATAAAACCATGGGAACAGCCTTAGAAATTGCCACTTGGGTCAAAAATTGATTCCCTAGTCTTGATTGATGTCAGTGACACAGTCATAAGACTGGCTGTCCTTTTTTTATCTATCTACGATCATAGTGTCTTGAACTGATTACAAAAGATTATAAATGTTTAGTCGTAACTTTTGATTGTTATGGCAAAAGAATACAACACAGATTAGTCAGAGTCACACAATTCCTTACTAACTTTCCTTGTTTGAAAAAAGTTGGAGAGTGGTTTAAAAAAATGTGTAATCTTTTCTGAAAGTTTTCGTTTAAGCATGAAGTTTGAATGCAGAACTGTTAAGTGCAGTGTCCATGGCATGACTATTTTATTGTGATTAAGATGTTCTATGAAAACAGAAAACAACAGCAACAGTTGGGCACGGATAACTGAAACACGTTGGGGATTGATTTACAAGTGTTTGACACATCAACAATTTGGGTAAACTGATACAATTTAAATCTAGAGAGATGTAGAAGAAAATCTATGGAAGTAAAACCGTTGCAATTACCATTACCGCTTCACTTTTTCACTTTCCGTCTCTTTTCCTTGAATGATGTATTATATATATATATATATATATATCATGTCCCAAGTGTCATATGAATTATAGAGTGAGGAAACTTTTTTTACCCATCTCCCAAAATATATATGAGTAACTTTCAAAATGTTGTAACGAAACTGCTGAACCCCCTGGCATGGAATGAATATTATTGTTTCAATACCAACACAAACCTGAAATATTCAAACATTTTGTGCCTTTCTCATTGTCATATGCTTTAAATATCAGCTCTGATGATTTATGTCCAAATTCTTAATTGTATTTGACAGGTTGACAGACTTAAAGACTGATATTGAACAGCTATCAGAAGTTCAATGCATTGTGAGGGATGGACGAACCATAGACGTTATCTTTTCACCGCAAGCTAAACGTTGCAGAAAAATGCCTTCAGAAATGGAAGGGCAAGTCAGTGGCAGTGTTCAACTGGTGGCCACTCTTTGTTTTAAACAACTCGCAGATGACAGTCTCCACTTGGGTGATGTGAAGGTGAATATTCAATTGGTACATAGTTTTCTATCCAGACTGTTCCGGTAGGTGGTTGGCGAGTACTCTGTTGTGGTTTGCTCCTTCTTTCATATCAAACATCTGATTTCCTTATCTTTCCTTTTTCTTTTTTTGTTGTTTGTTACCAGGTACTTTCTAATATTCAGCTCTTATAAGACCTTATTGTTTTTCAAATGCCATAAAACTCTTACTAAAAAAACAAAAGACTGTTCCCCCTCTCTTTCTTTAGACTTTCTTTCTCATAAACAGACAATGCTAGTTATTTTCTTCAACGAACCATATAAATCTAGAGTCTTGCATCTGTTTGACAGAAATTCACAAGCATTCTTGAATATCTGTAACAGTTTATAATATACAGTCGAACCTGCCGTGACGACCACCTCTTTAAGACGGCCTCCTGTACAAACGGCCACTTTCCATTTCCCCCCTTGCGTTTTTTCGATATAATTTAACTGTGTATAACGGGCACCTGTCCAACGCGGCCGCGGCCACCATAATTTAACACACAACCCCTATCATACTAAGCAATAACACCTGTCTAAGACGGTCAACTTAGTGGCTCCATTACGTTTTGTCATAAATTGTGCATTGGCCCCTGGCGTTGTGGGCGAGCCGTCATAATTCAATCACCTGTCGTTGTTGTTAGGTAGTCCCTCCAACCGATCATGTTGCGTAGGCCCCTCCCACTGTTGACCAATAGCTACCAATTTTCAGCTGCTGGTGAGGTAAGCGTGTGATCCCTCATAACCCATAAGCCCCGCCCAGAACTCATGCACAAATCGTACGTGAGATGAGAGGTCACTGTTTACCCAGTCTGTAACAAAGTAATAAAGGACGTCAACATGAACTTGTTACAGAAGCGCCACTCGTTCTCCGAGTGGTGGCGACCCATGTGTTTGTTTTAACATGGCACTCAGTCTTCCTTGTCTGATACATTTCGTTTTATTGTCACCCTTGTGCAATATCAGCGACAAAATAAAAATTACAAACGAAATACAAACCAACAACAACAACACCAACAAAGACAACATAATGGGGCTACTTTCGATTGGGGCCTCAGATGGGAATGATTTGTTTTCTTTATCTTGATCAGTCCTGCCTAAGATGGTCACCTGTCTTATACGGCCACTTTTTCTCCTTGACCATGGGTGGCCATCTTACACAGGTTTGACTGTATACACTTTTATATTGTCATGGAGGAGAGAAAACCTGGACTAAATGAATGAGGAAGATGCTGAACTGGGAAGTCAAAACTAACTCTTTATCTAGAGTTTAATTACTGACTGTAATGAAACAGGTAGCCCAAATAAGCAGGGGGGGGGGGGGGTAGTGTTTGGTTATTTTGATTACATGATGTGGCCCCAATAATCACTTCCTTTTTGATGATTCATAGGGTTGGTCCTATGTACTTTGGAATAAATGGAAAGTATTGTGCATTGTGAATCTTTAAAAAAATGTTGCTAAAATTTATGGTGTGAGAATTACTTCTTTTTATTTCAGTTGAATGAAAATGTTCTTGGATCTGAGGAAATCATTGAGCGTGCAAAATCATCTTTAGACATCCCTACTCTCATTATGGAGATGAAGTCTCTTTGGGTGTCGTCAGTGACTTTGTTTTCTGAAATCTCCAATATTAGAGAAAGGTAAACTGTACTTATCTTACCAAAAAACATCATAAGAGTGAAGAAACATATGTATTCACTTATTTATTGATGTATTTATCTATATGTAAAACATTTTCCTGTGTGTTTACTCTAAAACTAACAGCTAATTTCAATACCCAAAATGTAGCACTCTGTTGTTGTTATTACTAAACACAAAAGCGCCAGATGATAGAATTGGGCAGGGTCAAGAAAAAAAAAAAGAGAAAGGTAAACTGCTATTTTCCAGACACCTGTTGTTATCTTTTATTGACTCTGTTGTTATAGATGCCGTACACTGAAATCTGGTAAGCCAGATGAATTGAATGCTGGTTCTCCATGCGAGGAGCTTGCTTTGTTCCCTATATATTTCATACTTGTGCGCTGGCATTTGGTGGAGAAAAGTCAGAGGGCTTTCTGTGTGCTCACAACGTGCATATATTTACTGTGTTTGGTGGCTCCCTACAGATTTACTGAAATGGCAATCAAATGGGTAATGAGAAAATTCCAAGACTTTCACTTTTCTTGTTTGACCAACATTAAAATACAGTTTATATATATATTGTTTAGTCAACTAGGGAAAAAAAGTCAGTTCATATTTGCCAAAGGGGGCTAATCTGAAAAGGACAGTCAAACCTTCAATAAAAAATGTCAAATTTTGTTGGTATCCTCCGAAGCATAGGCTGTATTTATGTGACACTATAGAGAGCTACCTAACAATTCAAGAAAACTTGCTGTTGTCACCTCATGGCATTGGATGTAGAGGCAAAAGCATGAGCATGGCTAAATCAGTAACAGTACTTACATAAGTTCCTAGATTTAGTCTGGGAACATTTTGAAGACACCTTATAAAAATGCATCATGAGCTGGACAAGTGTATTGTTTATGTAGAAAAAGATATAGGCGTGCAGTGGGCTTATTCTGTTAGGGATTCAACGTGCTGAAATCAAAGTTATTATTATATATTATGTTGTTGGTTGTGTGTAGTAGGCTCACAACAAAGACGATTATTACTTCATTGTATAATGAAGGGACAACTTTTTGACCTATTCATTCTTCTTTTTGCAGGGAAGTTGGGATTTCATTTTTTTAGGGCTGAGGTGTTTTTGTCTGTGAGTTCTTACTTCAGATGGTAGAAGTGACGCAAAGTTTTAAATCTCTAACTAGGTTTTTACTTCACCCATTTGTGTAAGAGGGAATTCAATGTAAATAATAGGAAAGTACTGGAATGAATTTCCCTGCTAACATGATGGGCCCACTGCTTGTTTTGTTTTAAAACCTCATCTCAGTGTTATGTCATAGCTAAGTTTGATCATTTCAAGGTCTGCTGTGACTATTTCAGACATGCAGTAGATTGGATCCAAGAGGAAAGTGTCCTACGATTGATGGTGAAGAAGGGTCGGTCTGTAGTGTGTACTCTTCACATCCCAGACACTTACCCATACTCTGGCAGCGTCTCCCTGGAGAACGTCGTTGGTGACACTTCAGACATTGCCATGGATCAGATACAAGTATGTTCTGATAATAATTGATAGCCTTTGTCTAGCACATTTTCATATGGAGGGTGCTGTCTGCACTTACTTTATGGGCCAACAGCTCCCCACCCTCCCCATAAACCCCTTTTTCAGGAAATAAGGCCATGTCGTGATAGAACTAATATTATATGCTGTATACTCATACAAAGTTACTTAAAGTCATGTTATCCCCTGTTGTATTCATTCAAATGATTTGAAGGTATTTTTATATAAGTAAAAGAATTGTGCTAAAAAAATATGAAAGAATATGTGGATGTACATACCTAAAAAGGCAGAAATAATGCTAAGTGACCATAGCCACCCACTGAACATCAGAATTTCTATTATCAACCCGCAGTATATGACATATTTCCAAGAAAGCAAGAACAGACAGATAGAAATTCATTCGTACCAACTGCAGTGAGGTTACTGAACACAAGGTGCTACAAATGAAACAGAGAGAGAGAGAGAAAGAGAGGATTTTTTACGGAGCGGGGTTGTATATCCTGTCTTGTTGTGTGTATGCGTGAGTGCACCTAACCTTTGTAACATCTATTGCCATTGTAAATGACCAAAATTCTCCTTGTGAGATGAATAAAGATTGTCATTTGAAAAATATTTACACATCAATTCGTTGTATCATGTTATGATGTTCAGAGCAATGCATTACTTTGGTTCAGTGAACTAATGATCTGTATTCTGCACCTTTTTGTGAAGTCTCACACCTCTGATTGATAGCAACTTATGTTTCATATTTCATTGTCTTGAGACCTTTATTTTTATAATGGATTTTTTGCAATACATATGATTATTTGACGGTCTTGTTTGTTCTCTCCCTTCCCCACCCCACCCCCCCTCCTCACTCAGGCTCCCAAAGACAACACTTTGACTGGATGGATTCTTTATCTGGAAGACATCTTCAGCAGACAGACAGTGATGGACAGTGGATCATTCTGAATGGAAACTATACATGCAAAAATCGCAAATTTGTTTGTAAAATTGTTCAATATAATGTAAATCATGTAACCCATACGAGATCATCCCTAGTGAACAAATGTAGCTGAATAAACTGTAGTATACTCTGTAAACAAATGTATTTTCCTTTACTGATCCTGTTTTGTGCCCGTCTTGACTGTTGTTTGAACACCCAAGAAAGTGAGTCTTTTTTTTTGGTGAATTTCTGGGTTTTCTTTTTTCAAACTTGAGTAGGAGTTTTTGGCAAAACCCTGGATATTTTGCCACAAAATCAGTAGCAGTAAATATATGTAATGTGATTAATCCTCATAGCTGCTTTTGAACAGGTTATTAGTAGAGACACATGTGTATAGGGTACAGACTGAAGAATGAAAAACACATTAATTTTGAACTCTGCATTCTTCTGTGGTCCCTTGTTACATTGCACTGGTAGCTTGTCACAGGTTGCGTTATCTGTAGCACCACTGGCTTTTGTATGGCTTGTATTTAATCTCATAATCACATGCTGTGTGTATGGCCTTTCTTGAGGCAGCCATGAGCCAATGGCCGAGATAATCGTTATATTTATACTGACCAAAGTTTCTCCAGTTCGATGAAGACTTTAAATGGGAAATACAGTCTTTCAACATTTGACCACCAGGGAATGTTTAACGCAAGGCTTAAGTCAGGGGCACTTTCGACCTCATTAAAAAAAGACAAACCAGAAACTTAATGCTCGGTCAACACTATCATGGGATCAGGGATGTTTTAAAAAATGGAAAGACGGTTAGTTGCCCAGCAACCATCCCTGCTAGAAAGGATAATCCTACCAAGTACTTTAATTTGGTATGAAATTGAAGTCCAAGCTCCTCACTCCAGGCTAACGAGCCCATAGCTCAGCCTCTCCTTCATATGGCGATGGAGCAAGACGTCTTTTAAATGGTCATCATTCCATTCTATGATTTTTCTGATTCGGTAGTTCAAATTTCCAGATACCACAATACACTCGTACAGTAGTCTCCGCTTAAGATCCCACCGCTTTCGATAGCAGTTCGCTTTTAAAGATTCCGCTGTTTTAAGAAAACAGAATCTTTACTATGCAAAAGTCACCCCTAACTTGCCCTAAGATCTCGCTCTGATTCTCTCTGAAGGTCTACATTCAGCTCTAAGATTCCGCATTCCAGATCATAATTTACGGAACAAAAACGCAGGCGGGCACAGTCGATCAACCAAGAGTGAAAGGTTCAGATCATTGAATTGCCCGTCGCGTCAAAGATCAGCCTTTCTCGTTAATGTGATCACATAGGCATTGTAATCCTCGATAAAACGGGACAATATTTTCCCCAGACCAGATCACACTGAGGTGTGAACTGACCAACGGGTTTACCACGAACATCACACGTGCATCTGTCACTTTAACTTACATCACTCGCTACATGGGTAGGACCTTCTTCATGTTCCCTCCAGGCAAGATCACATTGAACTGTGAACTCTTTTTCTGTCCATTGCAGCAGTAAATTTGTGAGACAGGCTTGCAATGTAATGGTGCGTAGCGACAAAGGCGGGGGAACTCAGTCAGAGATGGAAAGCTATACTATACATTTTGAACAAAAAGGGGGAGGGGAGGAGCAACTGGATGAGTGTAAAACTTAAGACTCATGATTGGATTATAAATGGCATGCATCATGCCACTGTGACTGGTCAACAAGGTTGACCTCTCTTTGCTCACCAGAATACATGTATGTCATTTGTCATAAACCCACTCACGACAGTTCATTTTAGAGTGAAAGGAGACCATTTACTGGTTGGGCCTTATCATGGATCATCATAGATTCTTCCCTTGGTCCGTCTGCTAAGATCCTGCATTTTCCTTGCACCCAAACACTGGAATCTTAGGTGGAGACTACTGTATTTGAAAAGCCAAGGGTCCCTGGTGGCGGATAGGGAACGGACACGGTAATGGAGGTTAGCTGTGAATATATTGAATAAGCAGCCCCGGACCAACTGGCGATGCTCTTACCAGGATGGGGTGAGGTGGTAGGTGGCGCTACCACGTCATTAAATGCCCTAGGAGTCCTCTGACGGGAGCATCATGCGGAAGAGGACCGCATTAAGTCCTGGCTACGGGTGGGATCTGGTAACAATTCCTCCCTGTGCTCCCAGGGTAGGTCCTTGGACCTGGAGCTGGAGTGCTGAAATCGGAGGTATTGGGCCGCAAGGCGCACTCTAGAGAACCACAATATCACGTAATACTGCAATAGATAACTCTTCACTCTCAGCCAGGCTGAGCCAAAACACCTCACATTAGACAAAATCCCCCTAAAGTTCGAGAATCAACAGAAGTATCTTGGAATAATCTTTGACAAACGTCTCACATGGAAACAACACATTCAAAATGCAGAAACTAAAGCCAGGAAGAAACTTAACATCATGAGAAAACTAGCAAGGACTCAGTGGGGAGCAAATGAGAAAACACTTAGACAGGTCTATCTAGGCGCAATCAGGCCCCATCTCGAGTACGGATCCAGTGCATGGATGACTGCAGCACAGACTCACAAATACACTCTGGAAAAAGTGCAAAACCAGGCTCTCCGTATAATCACTGGAGCAATGAGGTCAACGTCTATAGAAAAGATGGAACAAACATCTATGGTGGCCCTGAAGAGGAGATGGGAATGCAAGGCCCTCAGACAGTACACCAAGGCCACAGCTATGGAGGATCATATATTGCACACAAGAACAGCCAGATCAAACACTACAAGACTAAAAAGGTCCAACTTAAAATCAAAGAAAGCAGAAAAATCCAAAGATCCCTACAGGACCATCTACCAGCCACCGTGAACATGCTGAACCATACCCCAGAGGCACCATCATGGGAAAAAGACAAACACAAACATAATTATACACACATTCATTCCTAAGTTCACCACAAAAGATGACCACAGCGACCTGAGCAAGAAGTCCCTCACCCTGTCCATGCTTGAACAAAGATACCCACGAGAAGCATGGATAGGGATCTCTACAGACGGATCTGCCACTGATGCTGTGAAAAGAGGAGGAGCCGGAGTGTACGTACAATTCCCTAATGGACGACGACAAGCAGAGGCAGTCCCAACAGGGCGACATTGTACAAACTACAGGGCAGAGACGGAGGGCTCTAATACATGCAGCAAACATCATCAAGAATGTGGTAGACCCCCAAAGCCAAGTAGTGTTCTTAACAGATGCCATGTCAGTACTGCAGGCAATCACTTCCGGCAAACTACCAAGGTTACGAAAAGAAATTGAGGACATCCCATGTCTGAGGATCATACTGCAGTGGATTCCATCACACTGTGGTGTCTTGGGAAATGAGCAGGCAGACAGGATGGCCAAACTAGGAGCACAGAAAGAGCAACCAGACAACAGCGTTAACTACACAGAAATAAAAACTATTATAAATACACTATTTAAAGCACCTCAGACACCAGATAGCTACCATTAGCTGTCCCGCCAAGAACAAGTGATTATCTTCAGACTAAGGACACAACACACAAGACTGAGACAACATATGTACAAATGTTTTAAACTAGTAGGCCTACAATCACCAAAATGCCAGTGTGGAGAGGCGGACCAAACTGTTGAACACATCCTTCAGCACTGCAAGACACACAGGGCCCTGAGACAGGAAACGTGGCCAACCCCACTGACGCTGCAAGAGAAGCTATACGGGCCGACAGATGAACTGAGCAGGACGGCCCAATTTATGACAGATACCAGACTTCAAGTGTGATGCGATCGAGAAGAAGAAGAAGAAGAAAAGCCAAGGCTCGCTCTTTGGAATCATTTTGTTTAACCCAGTCCGTACGCCCCGGGGTCATTTTGTACCCCTGGGGTTGTATTCTTCACCTTTTAGAATACTTCTAGTGCAAAGATCTCTTTGAAACTTTCAGTATTTCTAAAAAATCAAGTGAGCCGAGAGAGATAGATTATCTCAACAGAAACAGAGATACGTGTGTTTGGACGTGTGAATGTGAGAAAGGCGTGTGGTCCGGACGGTGTGCAACCCAAAATTCTGAAAATGTGTTCAGCACAACTTAGTTTTATTTACACCTATATTATCAACCAGTCGTTGTTGACACATGCTATTCCCACTATTTGGAAATGTTCTGAAATCGTCCCCCTTCCAAAGAAAGAAAAAAATTACTGAAATGAATGACCTGAGGCCAATAGCCTTAACATCGGTAGTTATAAAATGTCTAGAAAAAATTGTGCTAAAAAGACTACGAACGTACATAGAACCCACCCAGGACCCTCTACAATTTGCATATCGTCACGGGAGAAGTGTGGAAGACGCCATTTTACTATTTCTTGACAACATATATAGACACTTAGACAAGCCTAAAACATACTGTAGGATCCTGTTTGTTGATTTTTCGTCAGCCTTTAATACTATCTAGCCAGCTATCCTTTTAAAGAAATTAGAAAGCATAGGTGTTAACGTCAATTTAATATCATGGATAGAAGGCAATTTTCTTACCAACCGAACCCAGTATGTAAAATTAAAACATTCTTCATCGACATACATCACAACAAATACAGGGGCCCCTCAAGGATGTGTTTTGTCACCAGTTTTATTCACACTATACACGAACGATTGCCAAATAAACAACAGTAACATCAAGTTGATAAAATTTGCAGATGATTCAACTATAATTGGGCTAATTCAGGCTGACCACAACGAAACCGCTTACCGGAATTTTGTACTTAATTTTTCTGAATGGTGTGAAAATCATAAGCTGCTTTTATATGTGAAAAAAACAAAAGAACTTGTCGTTGATTTTAGAATAAAGAAACTGCCCCTGCAGCCACTCAAAATGAAATGTGAAAACATCGAGCGAGTGTCAGACTATAAGTATTTGGGTGTTACAATAGACAACAAACTCAACTGGCGTGTCCACACTTCTCTCCTGCATAAAAAAGTGAACAAAAGACTATTTTTTCTTAGAAAGCTAAAGTATTTTAAAGTTGATAAAACATTGATATCCATGTTCTACCATCCAACCATAGAAAGTATTATCAATTTTTGTATAACAGCATGGGCCGGGAACACAAGACAACAAGATAAAGAAAAATTAAATCGACTAATACGGAAAGCATGTAAAATTTCAACATCTTCATTCCCCTACTTGGATGAATTGTACATAACAGCTTGCACTAAGAAAATTAATTCCATCTTTTTAGACAACAAACATCCCTTGTTCCCTCAAATAAAAACATCAGTCAGAAGTAAAAGACCCATGCTTCTGATCTGTAACAAAGAAAGATACAGAAGGTCATTTTTTACCATCATCTATCAAAATGCTTCCATCTTAACCATCTATCTTGTTTAGTGTACTTACGACCTTAGAGCATGCATCAAAATATCATTGAGTGTGTATCTAGCTTACGATTATTATTGTTTATATTGCTGCTCATTTATATTATGTATGTGATTGTAAGCCTACTTGTGTGTGCATGTGCGTGCACGTGTGTACGTGTGTGTTTGTGTGTGTGCGTGTGTGTACTCGTGGTGGAACACCAAACCAATGTGCCAGGATCTGGACAATAAAGATGTATCTTATATCTTTTATATCTTTAAAAATTCTCATCATACAGGAATTGAACTCAGGTCTTCTGTGTGCGACCGCGAAGCACCTTACCGCTACACTGTAGACAGCAGTATAATAGGCTGTGCGAAATGGACTCGACTTTGAAAAATCATTTTAAAGCTGAACACAAATCCACACTTGAGTAAAGAGGACAGTTTTAGTTTATATAAGAGTTTTACGACACTTGCAACCCAAAAAGGTCATACAGTGGAATCCTGTTATAACGAGAGGGAGGGGACCGGTGCGAAATGTCCGTTATACCAGGATTCTCGTTATAAGGAATCCAGAAATAAATTCAATGGAAATAATAAAGTAGGCCTAATCTATGAATTTGGTGTTCTGTTTATTTCTTTCTTGTTATCCCCCCCTGATGATGACATTGTTCAACATCAAAATCAAAAATCAAATCGGGTTTCTTTCTCTAGCGCTAGCGATGTTGACAGCACGGCGTTGGCGATCAGAAAGAATGCGCTCTGGGCTAACTCGCCCGCTGTGTTGTCCTCCACCCTAGACTGAAGAACGTAGAGCCCCCACTCCACAACACCCCGTGGTGTGTTTCGTCTGCTTGCGCACGTTACTACACATTCACTCCATCCTTCACAGCATTGTGATCTCTCTATCCCCGCTTCGGAGAGGTGAGGGAATGGGTAGTGGTAGGCCTAGATAATCTAGACTAGGTTGGCCTATCACACGATGCGTTGTGCTTGTCTGCGCACCACACTCTCCCCCACTCATTCGCTCCGGCCTTCATTGTTGGCAAACGTGGGCTCTCCTATTCTTTGTTTCGCTCAAGGAGTTGATGTAACCTCCTAGGTTTCGCTAGACCACCAACAAGTTTCTCAACTGGCGAGGTTTATATATATCTATAACTGACCTGTGCGCTGTGCACAGCAGCAGCAATATTCCGCTATAACCGACTCCTGTGTTTGTCCGATTGCGCTATAGCAGTATTTTATTTACAATGATAAAGAAGAGGAAAAAACAAGGTTTTAGAATAGGGTCTTTATAACAGATTTCTCGTTGTTTCAGGACTCGTTATAAGTGGACTCCACTGTATAAAATGCCGAAGATTAGAGGTGTTACAAGAGTAACAGACACTAACAGACACAAAAAAGAAGGAGGGGAAAAGACAATAGATGTTTGATAGGAAAGAAGAAGCAAACCACACCAGAGCACCTGCCAACCACCCACAGAGAAGGACGTCGACACCTCATTGAAGCAACACTACAAGAGAAGCCGTATTGGCCAACACAACTAAGCAGGATGGCCTAGTATATAGATAGATTTTGGTTTTCAAATGTGATGAGATCGAGAAGAAGAAGAAGAAAGAATGTCAGGAGAGATAAGGACGAAAGATGTTTGATAGGAAAGAAGGAGCAAACCACACCAGAGCACCCGCCAACCATCCAAGTAAACAGTAAAGTTTTGTAAGTGGTACATGATGTCATGCAATACTATAATAGTGAGCCTCATTTTACTTTTGTGAAATTTCAAGTAATGTAAACATTGACAAGTGAGTGATACAAAAAAAGTACACCACCTTGAAAGATATTACCAAAGCATGATCTAAACTGCCACACACAATAATATAAGTAAAACAAGTTGTAAAACATCTACTTATTTTGACCCTCTGAATTTGATTGAAAAAAATGTCAAATGTGGGTTGTAGTTTTAGTGCCACTTGCAACACAATAAGGCCATATATAGGTGCCGAAGATTAGAGGTGTTACAAAAGAGTAACAAACACAAAAAAGGAGGGGAGATAAAGATGATAGATGTTTGATAAGAAAGAAGAAGCAAACCACATCAAAGCACCCACCAACCACCCACAATGTGGGTTGATGTAACAATAGAAGTTTGCCACTTCGTCAAAGTTACAGCAGGCCTGCAGCTAAGAAAAGCCAGCATAGGACATACAGAAACAAATGTACCAAGTTAGATTAGTTGGAACAGTAGGAAAAAAAAAGAATAGAGGAATACCCACCCCCTCCTGCACACACACCACTCACAACGACAGCAAAATACCTAAAAAAACAACAAAGCCAAATCAAGTAAAGTTCGTTATATTTTATTTTTATGTTTTCATTGGCGAATGGTCAACATGATATTGATTTGGGGTGATCTAGCACACACACACACTGTGACTGTACAATCTTATCACACTGACAATCCAAATAAAATATCGTTTTATCCCAACAGATGACTGGAATGCAACCTTGATATTTCTTTGGTGAACACAAATTGTTTTACATGCAGATGTACAATTTACTTCCCTGTAATCATTGTACCAGTTGAGTGACCATCTCTTACCTTGCTGATCTGATGGTGATGTGAACAAACCATTGTTCTCATGGAAGAACATAATGTATTCAATAAAATATATGGTGAAAGAGAAAAGAATGCAAAATGCTTTAAATAAATCAAAGCTTAAGCAAAATCCCTTTCTCCGTCAGAGTGAGAGAGAATTTCATGTGCTCATGCCATCACTGGATATATATGAAATATTAATACAATGTAGAAAATTTATATACACTGTAAATAATGGATGGAGGACTAGTTAAATTTAACCAATTAACTCACATATCAAAGTTTCACACCAGAAAATTGTATAGTGTTTCCATTATTAGAAACATCAGCTTCTTAAACAATATTTCTGAACATTCATAATCAGAGCTCACAGCAATTTCAACAGATAATCATTGTAACAGGTGAGTACATTCCTCATTTTAAATTTACTGTAGGAACTCACGGCAATTACGCAATTACAACAGAAAATCAGACGCAAGATCTTGTATGTTCACCCCACAATTCCGTAGTGGAAAAACAGATCTCTATACTGTGCGGTCTGGAATGAAAAATAAAGGACAGGGGAGGAACTGCAGATGATATGGCACAGTATAGTATAGGGGGGTTACCATCATTAGCAGAGAGTGCCTTCTGAAGAGAAGTGTCATTTTGGCTTTGTTCAAGTGCAATAATGCCCTAGTAGTAGTATTAGACACTGAATACAGTAGAGTCGCTTAAACTAACATCTGGAGGACAGCCAGTACAGAGAAGTAGCACTAAAACAGAAGAGAAAAAAAGAGGTATTATATAAAAATTTTCTTTCTGTTTACAGTTAATTTTGGACAAACTGTTTGATTGTTTCATTTAAGCAGACTCCACTGATGTTACTGTGAGTGGAGTGCAGAAATCTTGACACCATTGACAGGACACTGAACTGAGAGGAAATATTCTAGGAAGACGGGCAAAATTACGAGCACCACTCGGAAAGAAAGCAAATAGCTACTGAGCCTTGATCAAGATTCCAATCAGTTCAGCCGCACCAGCCTGTATTAAGAATGGGTTAACTGTTAAGGTGTTGAAAAATCGTGCATGCATTTGCTTTTAAAAAGAGCTAACCATCATACACTTGGGAATTTTTTTCACAGCAATGTAATTTAATAAGGAATATCAAGAGAAATCCCACTCCACAATAGTGAACCAGTCCTACAGTAGAGATATCAACTCTATGTGCTTCGACTTTTAAACTGTCTCTAATTCTATGCCTCACTATATACTATATGGCTAGAAAATTGGTACTTGATTTTTAAAATATTCAAAATTATAAAATTAAAAACTGATAAAAAAAAATTATGCCTGCCTCAGATATGATATGGCATTCAACACTGGAATGCTCTATTTAGCTTCCAAGCAAGCTTATCAGTCATTGACCATCTGTCTCATTAGGTCATTCAATTAAGTTTATCACTGGGATACTATTCAGCAATGTCATCATACCCGCATCTGAAAGATGTGTAGTGACAAACTATATATCTGCATTCTCCATGGGAGATAGGTTACCATACAGTAAGCTTTTTTTTTTAGCTTTCGATACACCTGAAAAGCAATTGTCAATCTCATGATGATGCTCGCTGAAGCATAGCTGTTTTTGACTTAGCCATTTCGGCCGCTCTTCGAGCAGTATCTTTTATTTTGCTGGAAGCAACAAGCGGATGGTCCTTTACACTGTCTGGTTTGAACAAAGAGTGGAGAACGTAGTCAAATCCTTGAGCAGCTTTTTCTGCATTTGCACGAAACCTTTTCACACCAAATACTTCAATAGGCTTGCTAAAACCAAAAGGCAATGATGACGAAATGAAGGCTGATCTTTCACACACTGTCCATGAAGAGTTGTCAGGACTTGTACGGTAAACACATTTTTCGTCAACACTCTGAAACGTAAACAAATTCCTGGTGTTAGCAACAGTGACATTGTTCAGAAATAAAAGATTGTATGCTATAGACGAATGAAGTTAACCCACTTATTCCCATGACTGAGTTAACAAAGTTTAGAAATTATTTCATCCTGAAGAGCGCAAGTCTACTTCTACTTCTAGTGCAACTTTTGATCTAAAGAGCACACACATTATATTTAAGTTTGACTTCAAACTCAACAATGTCATTCACTGCAAAAGTTGGCAGCTTATATTCTGTCAGCATTCTATGAAACCGTAAAGAGCAATATTTTTTAAAACACTAATAACACATGCCAGCCCACTTCACTCTGATCCCATTTTTTGGGGGTTGTCTTTTTCATAAGAAAAAATATCAGTAAACCCTCGTCCTGTGGAAGCCAGGTTTATGTTCTCCAAAGTGAGTATTTCGGCATCACGCCTTCTGTCCGGCCTTGACTCAGCGCGTGATGACCTGATCTCGTATTCCCGCAGCTCAAGTGTGTGGGCGCCAGTCTGCTTGAATTTGTGGCCTATTTCTTCTAGAACAGCTTGTGTTGGCTTGTAACCAAGGCCTACGTCTCATTCAAAACAGACCAAGTTTGTAGCTCTAGATGTTCGTTCAATAAAATGAGAGCAAACTGACCCACTTAGACATGAGGAGCTATAAAAAGGATCAGGCAACAAAACTTCAATGTTTCTATACAAAATCTTTCAAATAAGCTTGATATTATATAAAATGATATTACCTGATAAAAATTTGCTTGTTTGATAGTTAGGCATACTTTTGTGCCGGTAAAAAGAAAAATTTGAGAGCAAAACATTCGGAAATTAACCTATATTATTCCCTTTCCAACCCCATGTCATTCGTAATAACAAGAGCGTCTTAAAAAGGTTATTCGAATGGGCGTAACTACTCATAATGTCTTATCAGCTTATGAGAGGGAGTTATTCATGTGTTCGTAACACTTTATAAATAAAATAACAAAAGATAGAGTGTTATTTTCATCATCGATTAACACAGCCGCATGGTATTCACGACGAAAACACACACGTTTCCAGAGTCACTTGCTTTACACTAACAGTACACGCAGTGACCCTGGCAGCCCACCGGGAATGTTTGATGTAAGAAGTTACTAATAGGACTCACATCTTGGCACAGACGCAGAACAAGAGTAACATGAGCCTAATTATAATGTGAACATCTGAACAATGAAAAAATCGTGTCACTGGCCATCGATATACTCAGGGGCTATTGTGTAGCATAAGGCCCCATTCATTTGATTTTGTTTTAGTAGAGGATTTACGACGTTCGCAACTGCATAAGGTCATATGAGCGCCAGAAGATTGGAGGTGTTACAAGAGAGTAACAAACAAAAAAGAAGGAGGGGAGATAAGGATGATACATGTTTGATAGGAAAGAAGGAGCAAACCACACCAGAGCACCTGCCAACCACCCACCCCATTCATTTCTTCACAACCTGAACGCTGGATCTTGGTTCTATGACCAGTAAATCCCATGCAGACAAACTCATCTAGTAGCCTACAAAAAGAAAAAAAAAGTACCATATCAGGCCGTACTCCGTTCAGTACAATATAAACAATTCAATCTGTATGCACACAATGACAATGTTTTTTTGTTTTTTTTAGTAGAGGGTTTTACGCACTCGCAACTGCATAAGGTCACATGAGCGCCAAGGGGTGGGTGTCAACAGAGAAGTCTTTATAGGGAATCAGACTTACTCTGCTCACCTCTCTAGCTTCAACAACAGCACAAGGTCTGCTTCGACTATCAAGGCACCCCGGAAATAGCAGTTCACAAGAGAGTGACAAACATACAAAAGAAGTAGAGGAAAAATGACGATAGTAAGGATTAGGAAAGAAAAAGCAGCAGTTCCCTGTTGTAGATCAGGCACAGTTATGAGCGTGATAAGATGAATCAGCCCATTTACAATTCTACTGTGTTTGAACGAGAAATGTCCCCCCTTTGGGAATGGCCTTTACTAAAGACACTACAGTCAGTGGCACTGCCCCAGGGGGTTGACAATGTTTGAGATTGGAAAGAACAAGAGAACTCCAAGAGTATGTCCCTGTATAAGACACCTAACCTAAACATATAGGCTCCTTAAGTAGACATCTCTCTGTTGGTCCTTTTCCATTACCTTTCAGCAGACCTGCCACTCTATGAAATCTAAAAATCAGGATTTTTGAGGAAAAAAATCGGGATCAACGGCAAATTAGTCATAAGGGACACTGGGGAAGGGGGGGGGTCTCCTGGTTCCCTTTTATGAGGCAAGTATACAAAACAAAACTTTTGCTGGAATAAGTTCACGTTTGGGCCTCTAAATAGAGAGAAAACTGAAAGACAGCATATATGTACTCAAGTCGAGGTTGGATAGACTGGGGGAGCACAGGTTGCAACAATGCTGAAACTCTCGTAGTCTTGAAAATAGCTGGCACATAACTCTAATCATCCATGCAAAAAGCCCGCGTTTTCATATTGTAACAACGTTTGACTTCCATCGCATATATATATACAATCAAGGCACCCCCCCCCCCCCCCCAAAAAAAAAGATCGCGCGAAGGTTGTTTATTTATTTATTTTTTCTTATTCCTTTCCCCTCAGTTAGTATCTGTATCACGGCACGTGCAATAAGCCCAAGTGAAAAAAAAATACCCCCCCCTCCCCCGATCGTCCACACTGGTTAAGTCCCGAAAAACACCTCGACCGGTGTGAATGAACTTTGTTGTCCTCGACAACCAACGGTCCCCAACACACGCACTACTCATACGTACGAGGTCAGCTAGGTCACGTGATGCGAATGAGCGTTTGAAAGTTTCACTGACAGGTCTCGATGATGGGCCCGACTAACCAGCACTCAGACCGAGCTTGCTTTTAAAGCAACGGCAGAACAACGAATATATTATTCTTAGGCTAAAAGTCATAATTGTTACAGTAATCAGGACACCATCAGAGAATTCCGGGTTATAAAAGCGAAAGTAGATCTTGAGCGTGTCCAAGTCTGAATTCAAAATCGATACTACGCTGATATTAGTTGAAATAACGTGCGTGAGTCGTTTACTAGATTCGGCATAGATGCTTTAGAAAAGAGCGTTCCAAGTTCCTGTCGATAAAAAGTTCAATCGGTGCTTCCACGCAAAAGAAATTGCAGAACTTTCTATATTTTTTTCTCAGAATCGGATGCAACAGACGCAACGACAAAAAATCAGGATACTGGCGATCGAAATCGGGAAAATCGGGATCCTTGAGATTTGGGGCAAAAAATCGGGATATCCCGATTAAATCGGGATGAGTGGCAGGTCTGCTTTCAGTAAATCAAACCACTCAACATTCACTGAATATTCCTCGAGATCTAGAAAAACCAGACTTGTATCTTCCACCAAGGTGAAAGAAAAGTATGTTCACATGCTTCCCGACCAAACATATTTGGGTGGCAACACCCCCCCCCTCAACACATATTAAGATCAAAGATTACATTGTTTCATAATACGCAGAGCAGAGCTACAAAAGAGGAAAGAAAAACACAACTGAACATACATGAGAAGACAGAACCACATACCATAATTTTCTGCAATCCTATATTCCTGGTGTATGTTGTAAGAGTTTTCTGGTCTGGGTCCACAACTGATTCTTCAATGATCAAAACATGGCTGTCACCGCCCACAAACCGCTCGCCCCACTTTGGGATTTTGTTGGTCTTTGTCAGAACCCGCCTCGATATGAGCTTGTTCCCATCAGTGTGTCTAGAGATGACATCCTCTGTCAGCACATGTTTGCTGAGGAAAAAAACAAAATAGCGCACACATGTCCCTGCAGTCAAATTCAGTGAATGCATGTCAAATGAACATAATTTAACTTATTTGGGACGCATTGGACGTATATATTCGATAGCCTTGAGCTCCACTGGAGACGCAGCGGACTATCCGCACAAACGAAGGTATTCCAGTTTGGTTGACATTGCTAAGCCTTATTTTATTTTGTATTTATTTACTTTTGACCGTATAGCGTCTTTTTTTGGGGGCTGTAAATTTCTGTATTGATTTATGAAAGCAGTCTAGGCAACAAAGAACAAGGATCCTTGAGTTCGAGGAGCACCATACAAAGGACTATTCACAATGACTGAAACTATTTCTTCACAGTATTTGGACTGTAAATTGTGTTGGGATGTGCTTTTAGCTGCGTTGTGTTGTAACATTATCTTATTTGTTCCTGCATTTCTTCACTGTCAACTTAGAGGAAAATTTTTTTTTTTAAAGTCACATACACCATTTTTGTAGGGGTCCTGGAAAGTTTAGGAATATATCCAGGCAAATCGGGTTAGATCTAAGGCAAAGTCCAAATGTTGAATGTGTACATAGTGAAAACAGACTTTAAAAAATTAAATATCAAAAGGGGAAAAAAATGGCAGACTTTCAAAGTTTGACCCAAAATCGCACGTCTCCGGGTGCAAATCTGGACCAAAACCTGCGTCCCGAATGAGTTAAGTGTATTAAGAAGTACTGCTCTGTGGTGAACATGGACGATGGTGATATCATGTAAAATCTTGTCAATAAATAATGTCCTCCACATCTTGCAACCTAAAAACAAAATACACTAAAATCGAGAGAGCTTACTGAGGAAGACAATTAGGCCAACCTACACGGTAATTCAAATTTAAAAACATTGTCAAGCTGTATAAAAAATAACAAGATCATTCCAAAAAGATTATAAAATACAATGCTTTGATTACTAAGCAATGTAAATTTATCAACAAGTTTTTATCTGTTGAGCATGTAATATTAACAACAACATCTGTGCAAATTAAGAGCTAAGCCATAAAACTTTAATCACGCACTCCTAAAATTTCCTCTATTAACATGGAGTCTTCACCTTTAAATTTATTTGAAAACATTGATATTCTCACAATAAACTTCAATAAAGGTCAATACAATATGAACATCTCTGTTTTTGCAGCATCAAATTATTCAATTAAAACAGTTCAGTTCTTTTTTAATCATTGAGCGCCCCATGATTTTATTGTCATCGACTTGAAAAATATTTCATAGTGAAAAGCCCAACTACAGTAGTCTCAGCCTAAAGGCACACCATAGAAAGGCACATTCTGTTCAAACACACGCTTTCATCATATGATGAGTTTTTTTAACCATATAATCAATCTAGACGTACAAACGCACGGTCACTTCTTCTAAACGCACACTTCAATCCGGGAAACACTCCGACAGGCAAAGCTTGACAAGGGGAAATTTTAGTTGCAGCCTAAACAGCTTGCAAAAGACAAGCCTAGACGCCTTGACAACCGGATACCTGTATTTGGCGAGACAGGGGTGACCCTCACACAGAACAAAGAGAGCGAAGGACAGTTTTCACGCCTAACTTTTAAGACACATAGATCTAGGACTAGTAGGGTGATATGCTGGGAAGGGGACTGAAATGTCTTCTAATTGGTCACTCGAAAAGCGTCTTTGAGAGAAGCTTTCTGACTGGTGTTTGAGTGATAGCACATGTAATGTTTATTTAGACTTATGATGCGCAACACAGACGAATGCTGTAGAACACTACATAGGCCTCTTAATATAGACTAGTACAGTAATCATCTGCGCTCAAAGAACTTAAAATGTACTTGTTCAATGAATCACAAGAGAAAAGTCTGAGGTCATCCTATGCATTTACCAGGTTGCAATAGACGACAGACAGTCGGGATTGTCCCCGCCCCCCCCTCCAACCCATTCAACACCTTTGTATTCATAATTCATAACTGCAAAAACAGTGACGTGTCGTCACATAATCGGCCAAAATGACCCATCACCCCCAAAGGAAATGAGATGATTGCGTTTCTTCCTCCCTTTGCACAGGTTCATGTAAACGCATGCTCCGTATAAACACACACTTTGGGGCCTTCTCGAGCACCGTGCGTTTAAGCGGAATGTACTGCATAAAGGTGAAGGCAGTAAGATTATAATATACTACCTGTTGGGGTTGGGATATCTTTGCCACAATCCAGTTGCAACCTGTTCCCAGGAATACTTGAATACGCTGCAAGTGAAGAGGAACTTGACCATGGCTGCCTGAGGAAAAGTGAATTGAGCAAGAGAATAAAAAAAAACGAAAATCAGAGGACAATCAGAGGACAAATAAACAATGGTTCTATGATAAAAAAAAAAAGAAGCCCATTTCATTCCCCACAGATATATCATCCTACATTTTCTAGTAATTGCATAAAAGACAGAGACCTCAAAATTTGACTTCACACACAAGTCTCATTTCAATGCATTCTATTAAATCATTTGGTCATACAGCAACTTGTAATTGGCAGTGATTGTGAAGAAAGTTTTAAAAATGTTAAAAATAACCCCAAAAAGTTTTTAACCAATCAAGAGTTAGCAACTTAAGAACAGAAGCAGATGATGGTATTCTTTTCGAAAAGAGTTTAACCAAGTTAATTACAGTTGGTTGGGAAAGTTAGCAAAGAGCCAAACAAAAGCTGACAAAAGGAAAGTTTTTTTTACTTCGCTTTGGTAACTTACAGGTACAAATTGTGTAATTGTGCAACTTTAACAAAAATAATAATTAGCATTTGTGTAGCGCAACAGCTCTATGCGCTTTACACTATATTATTACCTCAGCCGTCCAAACAACATTCAGAAATATTCTCAGCTTCCCGCGAAGCATACAGTGCAAGCAGCTGATTAAGCGTTCAAACACTAACAAACTGACAAGATCTTTCGCTGTCTATAGCTGGGCACCCATTCCCACCTGGGTGAAGTGAGGAAAATTCATGTAAAAAAGTGCCTTTCCCAAGGACACAACGTCGGGACCCCTGACGGGATTCAAACCCGCCACCTTACGGTTTAGAGTCCGAGAGCCTGGCCTTACCACTAGGCCACAAGGGCAATATTCCAGAATTTCACAAGAACAATCAGCCATTAATTTGGCTTATGGGTGTAGCTGAGTGGGAAGCTGTGTATTGATAAAAGACATCAAACATTGCTCACACCGAGTCAAACAAATAAACGGGTGCAGATTAAAATCAAAGTCAAAAGTAAACGGTCGGAGTCTGAGAACTTCAGTTGAAATTTTTTCAGTCTCAGTGGAGCAATCTACTCTCAAGGTTAACCCTGGGCCTGGGCGGAAGGCTGGGGGAATCCCATGCTAAGGCAAGGGCCCATGCCCGTTGGTAATTGAATGCCACTGCCACAGTTGGCCTCTATGTTAAAACTTTGGTCACTATAACATGCACGGCTTAAAATGTATAATTAGCTATAACTATAACTTAACTTTCACTTTTTGAAGCCCCCAAGTCCCATTCAATTCAGTAGCCTATTTCTTTTTAAGCCTAGATTCTTTTTAGCTATAATAATATAAATACACGCACCTCAGTTAAGATATAGTAAAAATCTTAGGTTTGAAGGGAGGGGGGGGGACCGGTCGATGACCGGACGGTTCGGCTTTTAATATATATATGCATTTTACGGGAAGCCCCATAGCGTTGTGATAAGCTCAACCAAACTAACTCTGGTGTCAAAAGGTGCTGGAATGGATAATCAAAAATATATTCAGACAGCCAGTAGATTTTATTTTAACACGTAAAAAGTGCGTCGTTTTCAGAAGCAAATATTTCCAGTTCTACCAAATCTAAATTCACGCGAAGACCGCCACTTTAAAGATCTTTCTTTTCCTTTTTGAAAAAGATGTATCGGGTGTGATAGTGCGTGCGATTCACGAAAAAAATGACTATTCGGACTCGAGTCTGAGGAGCCTCTTGTGGCTATTTGGACTCAAACTCCAATGCCCAAATGTAATACGGGGTGCCCATTGGGGATTAGGTCTGGTCGGGGAGGTTTGCTAGCCAGATTGGGGGCGCAAAGTGGCTATTGTGGCATAAGTCGATAGCGCCCGACTAGTTGAATTAAAAACAAGCGCGTTTGTTTTCAGGTGACGAGTGGGGCGATTGCCCCCAACCCAACCCCATCCCCAATGGGCACCTCGTATAACACTATCAGAATATGTATTGTATTTCCTGATTTTATTTGAATATCATAGTATGCTGTTGGAAAAGTTTTTCATTTAGACCACTGTTACTTTGAATGACTGACTTTTGTTCCCTTTGGAAGGGTTTTACAAATTTTCTCTTCTTAATTTCTGACTGGACTTCCAATTGATCAATGATTCTGTCTTTTTTGTCAAATATCACCAGTTTAGACTAGACTACAGTGGAACTCGGATTCAACGAGGTCGCCGGGCCTGGCCTAAAATCTCGTTGAATCCGAGTGTTCGTTTCATAGCAAACATGAGGTTTTGTATAGATAATTACAGGCACTGAGCAAGTAACGAATAAAGAGAAGTCACAAGTAGTGCCTGAAATGCCTGCATATTATATTATGAGCTGTGTAAAAAAAAGACCAATTCGTTCAAATGCACATGCCTGTGTCATCTCGATTGTTTACCAAAAAGTTGTGTTGCTGTGGAGAGCCTAGCATACGGCAACTTTTGATTCCATAGACCAGTGCACAATTCATTACGTAGATCTACGTCAAGACTAGCTTATCATTGTAATAATGATCAGTTGCAGAGCGCAAAAAAAGACTGTGACGTGTTTGTATCTCTGCGACGTTCAATGCCCGGACTGCTAGTCCCCCCTCCCCAACATGCACACACAGTCACAAATGTGCAGGCCGCCCATCCGACCTTGACACATGCTAGAGTAGACACGTGCATGCGCCAACAACACATGTATTGGTATGAAAAAAGGCCGCTGATTGGTCGCATGCAATCGGCTAAGTGAATAATGGTTCACAATGCAGGTGCAATGGATGGTTTCCGGGAATAGATAAAAGTTTGTTCTGGGAGAAAAATGGGAGAAGCCACGTCTGCGGGGGCTGTTCACCCGGGAAGCGACCTCATTGAATCTGAGCTTGCTGATTTAAGTGCTCGTTGAATCCGGGTTATTTTCAATGATTTTAAAGAAGAAAAAAAACCCGGGGAATCTTTTTCATCTCGTTGAATCCGAGTTCCACTGTACCTATTGATAGATAATTCTCTGTTGTTCTGAAACTCTGATTTTTAATTTTTTTCACTGCATTAAGCTCAGATTGCCGTTTCCCTGTTTGCTTTGTTTGTAGCATTTCAGATTTTGAAACTGTTGTTCACTTTTGAAGTCACTAATCTAATACTTTTCTTAATTTTCTTGTGACAAAAATTTTTGCCAGATCGTAGAAACTGAGGATGGCCAAGGTCGAATTGCCCGTTCGCTTCACATCCGGTACACTTGTTGATGGCACACGTGCATTTCATTGGAGTTTGGAGTCCGAATAGCCATTCACAAAACTGTGTTGTTTAGACCCACCATAAAGCACAAACACAATAATATAATATAAGAAAATGCGCAAACCACTGTAATTTTGTCTTGACTAGGTCAGATGCAATCTCTTTATATTTTAAAATTATCTTAGGTAGCGTTAATTGCTACAGAGTGACAACTAAGGCGGCGTTAATTGCGACAGGGTGAGCACGGAGCTCTTTTAAGTTGACGATTAGAATCTAACATCCTCTAGATCTACCATTTCTGCTTCGCTTCCCAGCGTGGTGGTCCAAGGCTTCTAGAGCAGGCATTCAAATCTTACGACGAATTTGCAAAGATGAAAATTTTGTCGCCTAAGAAATCATATGACATGAAACAGTGGAGAAGGCGAACTTAAAGTGTGTGGCAAAAATCCACAAAGACTTTCTGTACAGTTGAGTACGTTGACTTTATCTGTACACATTATAGACTCTAGATTCTAGATCTAGACAGCCCAAATATTACAACAAAACATCAGCGCAACAAAAATTACAACAAAACATCAGCAGCATACAACAGCAACAAAAACCACTGGACACTAGATCTAGGGGTAACCACAGCAACAACAACAAGAAAAGAGCTGCAAACTGTCTTTGTTGGTTATTTTTGTCACTTTGTGTGTGTGTGTAGTGTGTAGTGTGTGTGTATGTGTGTGTGTGCATACGCGCGCACGTATAACTATATAAGGCCAGCGTGTGCGATGTGCGTTTGTGTGTGTGAGTGTGTGGGTAGCGTATGTGTATTTTTGTATGTGTGTGTGTGTGTGCGTGTGAGAGAGAGAGAGAGTGTGTGAGTGCGTGTGTGTGCATGTGTGCGTGTTTGTTTTTCTTTTTGGGATTCGTTTCTTTTTTCTTTGACTTCTTTTTTGTCAGACTCACTCTGTCGCAAATAACGCCGTGTTAGTTGTCTAGACTCTAATCTAGATCTAGATCTAATATCTAGATCTATGCGCTGGAAATCAACTGAAGAAAAAAGTGGACGTCAACACGTTCCTCTGTGAACTGCGTACAGACTTTGCTCCCCTCACTCACCTTGCCTGGGCCTGAACTGGGCCAGTTATCTATCTGGTAGAGATGCGAGTAGACCGAGGCCGAGAAGAAATAGATATCTGGGTTTTACTGTCGCCCCATGATCTATAAACAAAAAAAACTCAAGCAAATATTAAAAAATCATACTGAAAGTTTCAGTCGTTAGGGCCTAGCGATAAATTCTAGACGCCATACATTGGCTCACGTTGGACAGCGGACAGAATGAAAGTTTAGGAAATTTCAACAGGAAGTTGCTTCATGCAGGAAGAGGGGGCGCGGTCCAATCTTCCAGTACAGAAAAACACGAAAGTGAGAATTGAGAATCACATCACAAGCTTCAAGATGGCAACAATGTTTACAGCTTCTGCGAGGTATTCTACCTGTTATGGTGTTATTCCTGTTTATATTAACTCGATAACCTACTTTCATGCCTTTTTACTATTAACAACTCTTTATTCTTAAGGTTCTGGTAGCAATTAGTCCGCACAAGGGTCAGACAATCTCTAAACTGAACTTCATGGGGTCCAGCACTATGGCCATGGGCGGGCGGGCGTGAATGAGCCCACTTTCGTTTTGGATTCTCCGATCCAGCCGACGTCTCTGTCTGAAGTCTCAAGCTTGAGTTCACTTTGTTTTTGTCTTTTGATGCACAGCCACAAATAAAAGAAGGCGTATTTCTTTAATCTTTTTAATGTTTTGAGAGGATAGAAGAAATAATCTAGAACAAGGTCTAGAAATCTAGATTAGGTCTAGAGATCTAGATCTAGCTAGAGATCTAATCTAGATTTTAGATTCTTATGATTTTAGCGGAGTGTCTACGTACACGGTAACCGGGCACCTAGCCTCAGTGTCTACGTACACGGTAACCGGCAACCGTGCACGTAGTCTCAGTGTCACGTATACGGTAACCGGGCATGTATCCTCAATATCTATGTACACGGTAACCGGCAACCGGGCATGTAGTCTCTCTATTACGTACACGACACGGTGACCGGACAGTCCAGAACTCCAAGTTCAGTTTTTGTCATCCGGTGTTGCCTTCATCCCCACCCCTCCCCCAGCTGTACCTTTTAAAAAAATCTACCCCCCCCCCCCCCCCATTCCGGAAGGCCACCTCTATTCTCACCCGGAGTGAGAATAGTGCAGGCGAGTCTTGTGGCTATTCTCACCCGGTGCGCGTTCACCAAATTTTGCGTTCACCCTAAACTTAAACCACAGAATTCTACACTGTGATAACAGAAAAATTGTAGAATTCTGTGCCGTGAACAAACGTTCCATTACAACTGTAGCTTACTAAAAGCGTACAATTTTGTCTGTGGGCAGTGGAGAGAGAGAGAGAGGAGTAGCGCGAGAATTTCCGGGCAAAACAAAATGGCGATCCGCGTAGTTCGGCTCGATTCGAAAAGTTAAATAGCTGTAGCATCTTTGTAGACAACCAATTTAATTTACTTTTGTGTTTTAACATCATTTTTTAACTTTGTTTTGGTCAATTTGATCGTCCACACCGATAGACAGTATTCAGAAAGAGACAGAGAGAAGAGGGGAGGAGTTGATCTTGCGAGAACTTCCGGGCGGGTGAGAATAGCCACTTTCATTCTGGAACCCTATACTTCGCAGTGTACAGACTTTGAATGAACTTTGTTGATCCAGACCGGTACTCACAATGTGATGTGCCTGTGCAGGTTCACTGACCGGTCATGATGGCGAGCTTGACAAGACGCTTGTATGACTTTCTTTTTTTTTTTCAGCAAGTGACAGCACAGGACAAGTATTGATTTATTTTCATCAGGGCTCCCCTTTTCAGGCCAACTTAAGAGGTTCCTTCACCCTTTGGTTTACTATTTTGAGGGGTATTTAAACCCTTGTTTTAGAAACTTAAAGGGTAAAAGTCAATATCTCACAATTTTATAGTAAAATTTTTTGCTTGCAAACGTTTAACTCACACAAACATTCATGCAGACACACATAGAGTGACCTTGACTATGATTGTATGCTACGGATTTTTAATAAACTTAAGAAATAAATGAGTAATATTGACTAGAATTAGAGTTGTGTCCATTCGGAGGGGGGAAGAGTGGTGGTGGTTGAGCAGTTGGGTCTATCAAAAATAAAATAAAGTTGACAAACCAAAAGGGGTCAACTCCGACTATAATACTCCAAGAAAAATATACCGGCCACTCTATGAAATCTATATCAGGATCTCGGTGAGGAAAAAAATTGGGACTTGGTGAAAAAAATCGGGATCAGCGACAAATCACCTACCTCACTGCCAAGCTGACTTAAAAAAATTCCAGGGGTGTCCATTATTATATCCATGTATATTCCCTCTACGTGCATGTGTGTGTGTGTGTGAGCGCGCGTGCGTGCCTGTGTGTGTTTTATAATTTTAATAAAAAATCCTGAAGTATCATGTCAAGGTCTCCTGGTCCAAGTGTTTACACGACCCCCCCTCGAAAGACGCTTCAACCAGTATGCATGAACTTAAATCGACCCTGTCAACGACGGTCCCCGACACACGCAGAACTCACACGCCGAAGTCATGTCTCGTGGTGCGAACGCATGATTGAAACAGTTTTACTGAAGGGTCTTGATGACGGGCCCGACTAACCAAAACTCGGACAAAGCATGTTTTGGCAAAAGTAGATCTTGAGAATGTCTTCAGTCGGAATGCCAAATCTATACTACTTCTAATCCATTATACTTGAAATAACACGTGTGAGCAAAGATCCAAGACACTCTTGGTGAGTCAACTACTAAATTCGACATAGACATTTCGGAAAATAGTGCTCAGAGTTTCTGCTGACAAAAAGTTTAACGAGTGCTTCCCACGGCAGAAAAGAAGACAAGATAAGAGTAAGATTTTTGAAAAATCCGGCGTAACAAGCGTAACAAAAAATTAAACCAAAAAAAATCAGGGTACACGCGATCAAAAATCAGGAAAATCGGGATGCTTGAGATTTAGGGCAGGGATGAGTTGCAGGATTGGAAAATAAACTGATTCATTATTCTTCAAAGCCATCCCAGGATTCACATTCAAGTCTTTCCACACTTTCGATGACAGGCAATTCATGTTTACTAGTGTGTTAAAGAAGGATGGGGGAAATCTCACGGCAGGGTTAAACTCAAGGCACGACACCGGCAAATTTGAGCGACCAGAATGTGGGCGGAGCTTCTGTGCTGAAGCCAGCCGGTGTTGCCGGAAACTGCGCGCAGCTGATAAGTAGGTCGACTTGTCGACTGCTTCTGACACAGAAGGTGACTGTCGTGCATGTGTATGGGTGTGTTGTCAAATCATTGACTGGGCTTTGGGATAGAGAAGGGGGGAAATGATGCTTGCCAGATGCACACTACCTACATTTTAAAGCGGATGGAAACCCCCGAAATGAAATTATATATAAAGTTCACGCACAACCAAAACTTAAAGGGGGTAATCTGCAGGTTTAATGCATAAAGGGGAGCCCTGTTTCATTCCGGTTACCATGTACGTAGATACTGAGACTAGGTGCCCGGTTACCGTGTACGTAGATACTGAGACTACGTGAGACTAGGTGCCCGGTTACCGTGTACATAGATACTGAGACTAGGTGCCCGGTTACCGTGTACCATAACACTCCGTTTAGCAATAGATCTAGATCTAGACTCTAGTTCTAGATCTGGCTCTAGACTCTAGACTAATAACTAATAGTCTAGCCTAGATCTAGATCTAGATCTAGATACTCTAGTCTCTAGACAAGACTAGACTCTACGACTCTTGTCATTTTGTGAGAGTGTTGTGTTATGATTATGAGGGAGGAATTCCAAGTCCAAACAATTCACCCTTATTAGCCTTAGTTAGTTGAAGCCTTTTCAGTTTTACATTAATCAAACATTTGAGAGATATTTATTTTATTATATTATTTCAAACGCTCATCGTAATATCGTCTTTTCTGTATACATGTATATCCAAACTTGTTCACTCAAATTTGTAAATTCTACTGGAGATACCAAAATTACTGTTTAACATTGTTGATGTTAACATTTCGGAAATTTTGTCAATGTATTGTGATAGGCCTTAGACAAAATCCTGCAAAGAAGTGTATGTGTTTTACCTGCACGCATTGTCATGCAATCTGAGTTAGTGGCCAAACATCCGTTGGTAAGCAAGGTTCTTTGTCTCAGACGCTGCTCCATTGAACCTCGCTAAGGTTAGAGCAGCGGAACATGTGACATAGTTTTCAGTTGCTCCATTCTAAGCTCGCTATCTTTGGGTTGTCTACTTTAAATTTACATTGTTTAACATGCTCTTGGTTGTTTTGTGATGTCCCAATGTCTGGCTATCGAGCTATTATAATACATTTTGCTTGAGTGAACATTTTTATTATATTGTCCCTCAACACAGCAAGTAAAATATATAGTAAGTGACCATGTGGTGGAACATAACATCTCTTTGAAACTTTCAGTATTTCTCAAAAAGTAATTTTGACAGACTGCTATGCAAAGTGTACGGATCGGAAAGTGGGTGTAGAGTTCCCCACGTTGTTTGGATATGATAGTAAAACATAGGGTTAAACACTTTGCTTTCCTTGGAAAAGTAGAAGTCAAAAGAGGCAGAGGTAGACCAAGAAAATATTACAGTCGAACCTGCCTTAACGGAAACCTGTATAAAATGGAAACCTGTCTTAACGGAATCTCCCTGCTCCCCCCTTGATATTATATTCCTTTTTAATTACCTGCATAAAACGGAAACCTGTCCAACGCGGAAACGAAAAGAAAAATCCGCTCCCTTCCGAGGGTTTCACCTGTCTAAGACGGAAAATGCTGTGCCCGCTCAGCCCTAATTTGAAAGAAAACTCACTGGGTGGTGCTGGTACATTAATAATAATAATAATAAGAGCATTTGTATCCCGCCTTTCCCCACAGCATGGGCCCAAGGCGTACATAGGAGATTAAAAACGTATTCATACTAACACCATACAAAATCATTGTGTGCGCACTTTTTGACAGCAACATTCTTTCAGACAATAAAAAAATGCTCATACAAAAAGGCAAAGGTTCTGTCCATTAATTAAAATATTTCTTAAATAGATGTGTTTTGAGTCCCCTTTTGTTATTTCGCTCCTCAAATCAAGAGGGAGAGTGTTCCAAAAATGTTGGCCCAGAAAAAGAAAAAGCTATCTCACCATATTTCTTCAGTGACACACGAGGTGTTGAAATTAGTCTAGAGCCACTGGATCTTAGTTCACGTAATGGTGTGTATGGTACAATGAGTTCTTGAATGTATGTGGGAGACTGGTTAGTTTGACCTTTAAAGCATAGTAGGGCTAACTTATATTCAATTCTCGCTTTCAGTGGAAGCCAATGGAGCTCTTTAAGTAGGGGAGTCACATGATGGCATTAATCAAAGTAATTCTTATTTTTATCATAAAAATGTTCCTACAAGACCAAATAAGTACCCATGTATATATCTGATCATGGAAGCTCAACTTTTGGTTTTCAGCGTCAAATAATGTGCAGGGTAATTACACAAATTGTCATTAACTTTTTTAGGAAGTATCGGACATATAATATGTCCGATCAGCAGCTGACGAAAGGAAATGTTGCTGTACATTTCGGACCATTATACACAAATGAGAAAGGCGAATTTTCATGTTTCAAAATATGTGTAATGTTGAATGCCTAACTTCAGATAAAGAAAGCAGAATTGAAAAATCTACTTGAATTGAGTTTATGCGGAAAAAAAGCACATCTCTAAGTTTTGCCGAATGACCAGAAAGCGCGTCCTCAATGAGTTAACTGTTTCATTCTTTATTCTTTAAACTGTAAATTTTCTCACTAATGTAGTAGTGTTTGTAGATGGTAGTGAGGGGTGGCATTGGTTGACTGTGCTTGTTACACCGATGGGTGGGGCTTTATTCTTTAAAATGTAAATTTTCTCACTAAAGTAGTAGTGTTTGTGTAGCTTTTGTGGTCATACTGTTTGTTCTTATTGCTGTGATAATCCAAGAGTAATGCTCAAACTTGATATGCTTTGACCAAAAAAAATTGTTTTTTCTCACTTTTCATGAGAACCAAGTTTCAGTTTAGTAGTTCATTTTGTTAGACTGGCTCTTTGGCCAGTCAAATAATGCTAACTATAATATTGCTCTGTTGTCATTGAAAAGGTAGGTTTCTAGACTACCCTGTGGATGCTGAAAGATAAACTGTTACTATGAACAGATTTTAAAATGCAAAGTGGATGCCTTCTGACTCCTTGAAGGAGGAATATAATGTCAGTGAGTTTTTCATTTAATGGCTTATAATGTCTTTCCTGTGGATTGAAAGGAGGGAGGGAGTGGCTATAAAATGGATCACTGCACACCAGTTGGAGGTGCAACCCCTCTAACAGGTTAATAGATCATTCACCTGACTATCTGTGCTCCGATGAACATATGAATGATATCAATTTTAGTTGGTGTAGGCTCTCCTTATTTCTTTCCTTCTCCTTTACTCATCAGCTCAAGTACTCCGACTCGAAATGATCTATGTTTGTGTTTGAAGATAGGTAGATTGTTAAACTCATGCCAAGATTGTTTTTAAATACCGAGGGAGCTTGACTTTAGCCAATTTTCATGTGTATGTTTCTGCGATTATGTTTAAAAAAAAAAAAAATTTCATATATGTGCTTTTAAATTATTTCAGCATTAAGAGAGCAGTAACTTTGATAAATGGACTAGATGTTAACAAGTTTCCTCTACTGTTGTCTAGAATACTTCAAAAGTTGCATTTGAAGGTATGTACTGTTGTCTTGATATTTTTTGAATTAATATAAGTTTGGTACTTTTATATAACACATGTTTGTATCATAAAAAATTATGTTGATTTTTTATTTACTCAACTACACTTAAGATGGCTATTCAATAACTTGTCAATACCTGTTTAGTTGATTGGAAGTAGCAGATAAAATGTGTGTTTTTATGGGTTTTTTTTTTTTTACATTATAACAAATAATTCACCTTCAGTTGGGCAGAGACCCAATAAAAATGTATCTGTAAAACAGTAAGTGCTATTATAAAATTGTTACTGTTGACAAATGTTCTTTTGTTTTTCAGGAAGAAAGAACATTTTCAGAGGAGGAGGAAGAAAAATTACAGGGTGCTCTCGATGTTTCCTCTAATGAACTTGAACTAATACTGGAGACTTTGGAATTTATTCTTCAACAGGTGATTTTCTTTGTTTGTCTTCCCTTGTTTACAGAAAAGGAAGCCTTGCAGATAAAATTTTTACTTTTTCCTTTTTACCAGGGAATGAAGTTAACTCTTTATCTCCGTGGGTGGTAAACAATGCCAAGGCCTATTTTTGGTAATAGATCTATAAATGACGAAAACGTCTCTAAATTGGTCATTAAATCCAAACAAGTGATCCTATTTAGATAGTTCTCTATCTAATGAATGAAATCCTGATAAAAGAGACCAGTTTTTGGCACTTGCCTAAAAGTAGTTTGATGTCGAAGTCGTCGTAAAGGAATGTGCCCGAGCCGCTGTCATCAGCTCACCGGCACAGCAGTTCTGACCGCAAGCTGCTGGAAGCTAAGGAGATAAAGAGTTAATACAGAATCAAAGTTTATACTCTTCTGTATTTTTGACTGATAGATTTTTTGCTTTACTTTAAAGTTCTATACAGAAAGATATGTTAATTTATTTGACACATATTGGAAGTGCTTTAGTTGCTACATTTTTGATAAAATGTAGAATGATAAATAAAGATTAGATTAAAAGGCAATGAGCTTTCAAACTGTTTACTTTCTTTGTAGAAGTTTACATGAGCACAACATGTTCATTCAGTTCTTAAAATGTTAGAAGTTGAGAGAAAATAACAACTGGCATGAAAGAGGCAGAACCCACCCACGACATCCTGCAAATAACAGGATATTCAAAGAGCGTACTGTGTTGCCAGGGACATTAACCCTATCTGTATGCCCTTGGGTCATTTTGTACCCTCGGGGTTGTATTTTTCACATTTTAGAGTACTTCTAGTGCGAAGATCTCTTTAAAACTTTCAGTATTTCTCAAAAAATCATTTTGATAGACTGCTATGCAAAGCGTACAGATTGGATTAACAAGTAAATTTCCTCTTTGGAAAGTGATGGCACAGAGTTCCCCACGTCGTATGGATATGATAGTAAAACCTGACATACAGATAGGGTTAAACAAGTAATGCACACTTTGCATGTCAATGTTTTATTGGTTTTGTCTCAAACTGTCTTTGGTGTAAAAGTACTGTATGTCTGTAACTACAGGCAGCATACCACACAGCGAAGCCAGCAGTGTTGGGGGAACAGCTGAGGCAGCTGGAGCTTCAAGAAGATAAGGTAAGTCATTGAAAGGGTACACAGGGCAGTGGGGATGAGGGAACGTAAGTCTCACTCATTGAAAAAAAAAAATGGTCATATTGTACCCTCACAATGAAGAAGCATGACTTTTAGTATGATATGACCACCTTAGATCAATCCAGCTCTTTTCGAAAGAGTTAAAAAATAAAAAGAATGCTTTCCTTTCACAGTATTTTCAGTGTTTTAGTGTTGAGTTGCATGTTCCTTGCCATTCTCAAGTGTTGCTTGCTAAATGGTTATGTGGCATTTCTCTGAAAATTTAAAAGCAAAATCTATGGCGAGCTAAATTATGTTTTTCTTCTCGTAACAATTTAACTTTTTATTCATTCTGAAATTTATGAAATTTTAAGCACAGGAGAACCTGCCTTGATTGAAATTGATTATCTTTTTTGCAAGAAGTGAATTTCAGATAAATGTTGTGACATGTATCAGGGCTAGTCTTTCTTTAAAACCTCTTACTTTTTCTAAGAGAAATTGTGCTTCTTGCTCATACCAGGTCACAGAAGTTGTCTTCTTCTATGTTCATGGCAGTAGTCGTAAATGTTTTGTCTGGATGTGGAAAGAAATGATGGAAGCCCTTCTATTGCTGAGGGGAAGTGCAGTATGTGACCTGGAGTTTGGTACTCAAAACAATATTGGCTCTGCTGCCTATGTTTTTGTTGAGATCACAGTGTCTTTTTCTCAGGCAAAGTAGATGTTTAGCTCTTGTCTGTTAACATGGTGGGGTGACAATTATTGTTTCAGCATTTAAAATACAGATTTAGATTATTTTTGCATAGCACACAGGTTTTTTATTTGAAATATATAAGTTTGTATTACTATTTGATTGAAGAGAAATCACAACTATCTCTCTTTGCTCAAGACTACCCAGGACCCAGTAGGCTTTTTATTTTTAGTTTTTTTAGTAAATTGTTTCATTGTCCTTCTTAAGATGAGATTTTTGTATTTATGTTTCAAATTCTCTCATGTCAATGGCAGTATTCAAGGATATATTTAGCATCATTTTGATTTGCTTTTTCCATCTTCCAGGTTAATAAAATAGTTGAGGCATGGACAAATGGTGCCAGAGATTTAGTGCAGAAACTGAAGGAACGGACTGTACATTCAAAACAGGTAAGCTGAATAGTCTGTTCTTGTCTGCCGTGTAGTTGTTTGTCAGCTTCCTTTTTAAAATAAAGGGTTTATTGGCTGGTTTAAGGAATTTCTTTGAATGTGCGTGCATGCATTCATGTGTGTGTATCTCAATTGTCAAGCAGTAAGATGAGTGGGCTATAAATAAATTGCTCTCATCATCGATGCCTTAATCCTACTTTTTGGTGAGTTCCATAGAGATATGACAAGGCATTTTGATATGGCTACAATCCTTACCTTGGATAACATAAATTCTGTGAAAAAGTCTACATTTTGCGTTTGGACAGAGGTGTAAAAATCAGAATGGTTATAATTGTGTTCTACTTTGCAGAAGTAGCTTAGAAAAAATATCAGCTTTTGGTGATTCTTTTGTTGCCATTGATCCCTCTGTCTGTTTCTTGTGGCGTCAGTAGTATCGGTTAGACTACTGGACTCGGAATCTTGAGATTGCTGGTTTGGGGGTGCGACGCTCAGCTCATGCCGATGTTGTCTCATTGGGAAAGGCATTTACATGAGTTTTCCCCTATTTTACTTAGTCCTGCTGGAGATGGAGTTAAATTCAGAGATCCCGCCACTTAAATAACCTTACAGTGTTTCAAAGGATGGTAAACCTATACAGTCTTGTGCATTGTCTAGTTTCCTGCTTCTATTTTGTGTGTGTTTTCCCTCACTTAATCATATTGGTAAGGAAAAATCTCTCTTCTCTGCCATGGGTCACAATTTGGCCATTGCAACTGGCCTAGCCTCTTTGTATATATTTTATTATGTAGAAATGCTTACATATGTCTAATATTTAGGTGAAAATCGAGAGAAAAATAGTGAGTTATATAAGCGCATTTTGTTATAAGACTGTGTTATTGTTGGTATGGAGCAGTAAACATGTTTACATTGAAACATTTTGATTATTTAGTACTAATGCAGTGTAAGACTGCTATCAAATTTTTATACCGTGCCAATGCATGAGGTCACAGTGCAATACTGGGTTTTATCTTTTCTTTTATGTTTGGACATTGGACCAATCAGCTTTTGTATTCACTGGGAAATTGTGCACACTCATACTGGATTCTACTTTGTCTGTGGTGGGTTTGTTAGAGGTTTTTGTTGTTGTGGTTTTGTTTGTTTTTTGTTTTTGTTCTTTGTTATGTTTTTTTTGGGGGGGGGAGGGAGTTTTGGGGGGTTGGAGAGGGGGGGGGGGTGCTATTTTATAGTCTGTTGTTTAATCAGGCTTTTTATGAGTTCTAAATTGTTCACCTGGGTGAGATAAAACACGAGATGAATGCTGAAATGTAAAGACAGATATATGCTTTTCCCGGGAACAACAAACTTTCTCCTTGAGTTCTTTTAAGCATACCAATGACTTGGAGAGAATGAATTAGTTGCGAGACGCGGTACGCATACGTCGGTTTTATCTTTTTTTTGTTTGTTTGTTCTGCCTCACTGTATGCGTTAAGTAGTACCTAATTATAATGCAGCACCAGTGTTGTGGGTTGTTGGACTCCTTTTTTAAGCTGTAAATCAAGCTCTGTTTAAAGGTAGCACATCTCAATTTCTTCTGTAATGACAAAGGTTTTGTTTTCATAGTATCTTTTAATCAAAATCCAGCAGAGCCTGAATGTTCAAAAAGCTGTTGTTGTTGTTGTTGTTGGGTAGAGGTGATTAGGATAAATCGATTGTGTTATTAGTTTCAACGCTTTTTTATTGAATTTCGATTTACACAATCATTCTGTGGACGAGACCGAGACGCAGAGTTATATAGAAAAGGGGGAAGTAATTTTGGTATTTTTCCTTGCGAAATAACCAAATTCGCAGTTGTCTGCCTTTAATCCCTTCAACATGATGACGAGATTATAATTGATGGATGGAGGGAAGCGTTGCAACCTCGTTGAACTTCAAGTCAAGTCAAAGTGTTGAGTAGTCTAACTTGTTTGACTATCTCGACTTCAGCTGACTCATTCTTCTACTTTATTATCTGATTCTGCATTATGCATAATCCATTTAGAAGGTGTCAGTTAGCGGCGGAGATGTTATCGTAAATGGCTTGACTGAAAGGTTGTCAGTCGCCTTCAACTTGTGACAAGATAGCACCGGTTTCTTTGCTTGAAGCACAAGTCAGCGGCGAAGCTTATATTAGAATAATGGAGTAAAATGTTTGAAGTCAACTGGTTGTCAGACTCTCTCTCTCTCTCTCTCTCTCTCTCTCTCTCTCTCT